CAGATAACCAGTTGCTGACCAGCCTGGGCAAGGTCACTGTAGGCAACAACCTTCTCCCCAGGATAGGGGGCATGCTGTATGGTAGCTGCCTAAAAAACCTTAAAGAAATAGGCATATCTGGAGAGGAACTCACTGCTCACTGCCGCCATCCATGAGTCAGTGTGTGCAGCTTTTGGCTGCTGTATGATTAATGATTTAATCACATTCCCAAAGGGTGTGCACAAGTTTTCCTTAAAGTAAGAGGCCCACTTCAGCTCTCTGGGAATGGAAGCACTGGCTACGACTAGGGGACCAACTCTGTCCCTTGGGAGCCCCAGCTCTTTAGGGGTGCACTGGAGACTCCAGCTCCCTGCAGTGGGGCCATTCTGAGGGTATAAAACCTCTGTCGGTGATTCTCAGCAAGGGCAGCTATTAAGCTGCCACGTGTAGTTTTCGGCCCGTCTGTCTTCCCCAGGAGCCTGAATTAAGTGGTCTTCTTACCTTACAGCATGTGGACACTCCATAGGTATTTGTTGAATTAACAAATACTTAAATGAATGAATGGATCCTCTATGAAAGTCTCCTGGCTCATAAGCGTGTGAATTCTGAGAACAACGTAATGTCCAGTGACCTGAGCTGCTCTGAAAGATCCATCGCTTAATTTACTAGCTCTTATCCTGTGGCCTTTCCTTCAACAAGACCTGTCCTCGCAGTTCACGCCTCCACGTACAAAAGAGCTGAGGGGGTGACGGGTGCGGGAGGTGCCGCCGCTGCCAGCACTCCTGTGATCCCGAGGAGGAGCAGCCCCTGGCCTCGGGGCTCTGAAGGCGTGTGCGTCACAAACTACTTTTCTGTTTACCGTAATATGCAGTGACTAGAGGTCATTGAAGCAGGCCTTTTCCTGGGCCCTTTTTAATGTCAAATCTAATTTGGCCAAGAGGTCTTCCCAAAGGTTCCCCCATGCATTTCCTACTCAAGGCAGCTCCGTGACACGTCACCTCCGGAAAGCCAGGTGCTGAGACCGCGGAGACCTTCATCTTGAATCTCGGAATTAAGAGGAAATGGTATGCAGTTTGCCCAACTTCTCCAAGAAGCCTGGCTCTTTGCAAAGCAAGGGCAGTAGGGGCTACGTCCAGCCCCACAAGATGAAGGGGACACGGGTTCGGGGCCCTGATTATTTTTACCTCAAGGCGGAGTGGAAGAGTCTCAGTGTACAAACCTCAGGCAGCAGTACGCCTGCCGCCCAGCGTCCAGCACTTCACTGGGAACAAAGACTGTGGCATCTCAGAGGGAAGGCAGGGGTGGGTGGTGGGTGGGAAGAGATCAACCAAAGTACTTATATGCACTATGTATAACCCACGGACACAGACAATAGGGTGGTGAAGGCCAGGGTGAGGGGGTGGGTTTGGGCTAGAAGGGGTCAATGAGGAAAAAGGGGGCATATGTAATACTTTCAACAATAAAGATAAATGAAAACAAGCAAAAAACCAGAGAGGCACCTGCCAGCTACCTCCTGACAGCAGGCTTTGTGCAGTTATTGTCTGACTCCCCCTCACCAGGATGCTATCACTGCTCCTCATGGAGCTGATGCTGCAGGTGGAGGAAGCAGGTGGGCAATGACCAGACATCCGAGTTCCTCTGAGGAGACACCCCTGCCCGGGTCCCTGCACAACCTCAGCATCACAGAAGAGATGGGGGGATTCAAAGGCACAAGGGCAGCACCCCAGACGGCCACCCCAGTGAGCACAGAGGGCAGAGAATACTGACTAAAGGGAAGGGTTTAGAATGATGAAGGGGGAGGGAGAGCATCCTAGCAGAAGGAAACATGAATGAGCCTTAGGGATGGGAACAAGCCAGGCGTGGGGATAAAGGAGCCATGCTGGCCAAGAAGAGGCAGAATGTCAGTAAGAAATGGGCTGTGAGGATGGATGGGCAGGTGGAGGCAGGTCTTCAGGAGGGTCGAGGGTAAGGCTAGAGCGAGGCACCACACCTAGAGGTTTCACAGGTGACTGCCACCATTGCCCCCTAACCCTGCTCTTGCCCTGGGCTCCTAGCTCTCATGGGAGGCACCCTCGTCTAGCCAGATGCTCATCCCGGAGTCATCTTAGATGCCTTCTTTCTCACTCCTGACAGCCAATAAATCATTAAATCTTGCCGATTTGGCCTCCTAACTCTGTCTTAAATTCATCCCGATTGCCACTGCCCGGGTTCAGAGCTCATTATCTCTTTCTCAGACTGTGGCAATAACATCCTAATGGGTCTCCTCGTTTCCACCCAAATAAAGATTTGTAGAATAAAAAAATGCATGAGCCAAAACCGGTTTGGCTCAGTGGATAGAGCGTCGGCCTGCAGACTGAAAGGTCCCAGGTTCGATTCCGGTCAAGGGCATGTACCTGGGTTGAGGGCACATCCCCAGTAGGAGATGTGCAGGAGGCAGCTGAACGATGTTTCTCTCTCATCGATGTTTCTAACTCTCTATCTCTCTCCCTTCCTCTCTGTTAAAAATCAATAAAATATATTTAAAAAATGCATGAATGCTGAGGCTTACGGTGTCATGGCAGTTCCCTGGTTGAGAGACCCTGCGAGAAACCTGCCTCCATCCACCGAAGGCACACAGAGGCTTGTCTCCAGCACCTCGGGGTCCTGCAGGAGTCAGAGATGACAACCAGGCTCCGTTTGAGGAGCCACCAGCCTGCGTCTCCCTCCCTGGCAGAAACCACGGGGCCTGATGAGCTGCCTCGTTCTGAAGGAGATTCTTGCACCAGATGGGCATCTGTGTCCCCCTCATTTGCCCCTGCCCTTTTCCCTGAGCTCCACCTCAGCGGAATTCAAGATCCAGACTCGGAATAGGGCGGCTGGCGTGGCCCTGCCCTTCAGGGCTACTCAGACAGAGTTCCCATCAGTGCGGAGGGTGGCACTATCGGGAAGGTCACCAAAGAGACACGCGGGTGTCTCTCAACCTAGGCTCCCTCTGAGCACCAGGTAATCCTGCACGCACCTTAGGGAAACTGCTTTCTTGACCGAATTAACCTGCCCTCCTGCAAGGCGAGCTGGCAGCCCAGAGGAGTGAGCTGTGTTAACACCAGATGCAATTTTGTGCTAAAGTTTCTTCCCACAGAAAATCCTTCTCACTCTCCCTATCTCCTCATCTCTCCCAGCAACATTCAAAAATCAAATCACAAGTGTGTGCCCTTGGGCCCACCTGGTCTTTAACAAGCTGATTCCATCATTGCCTTGCAACCTGGAGGCGTTTAGGAAATGGCTGTAACCCACAGGGTGGCGCGGGGTGGTGTGGACTCATAATTTAGGTGATCATTTAGGTGCACAGGGAGCGAAATGGGATATTCATTCAAAGTAAGATGTCCTCTGGGGTGGCTTCTCTGTCCGAAGAGTGCGGGAGAGGACTGGAGGCAGTTTTCTGAATATTGCGGGCCGCTTATATCCATTTTGCAAGAGCTGTTTGGGATGTTGGCGGTGTGGCGATGTCCCTGCTCAGCTACATCATTCTGGAGAAGTCTGTGTTCCCACAGGCCTTCCTTGCCGGCCTGGTGACATAGTAAATGAAACACGGTGATACCCAAGCAGGGCTTATTTCACATTCAGTTCCAAACGTTTCACTTGGCTCTTTGGGCAACAGCATTTTGATGGCGGGGGTGTGGGGTGTGGGGTGTGGTGGTGGTGTGTGTGTATGTGTGTGTAAAACAATGTTGATGGGGGAAGATGTTCCAAAGACAGTAGTGGAGGGACCCCCAGGAGGGGATGGCAGGCTAGACTGTGTCAGGAGCCCCCATTCCCTTTGTGGAAATGTAGTTGCCCCCAAATACAGGCCTGGTGCAAGACTAAGCTCCCTATAGCACTGCTGCAGAGTCAAAGTGAGTTCCTGAGTATTTTTGAAGAGAACAAAGAAGAAATAACACATATTCGGGTGGGGATGAATGAAGCCCATCAACACATCAACAATCTCATTCACCATGTCTACGGGACCATTCCCACCATAATGAGCATCCTCTCATTCCACAGGCTGACTGCACGGGTTCCCATCCTAGCTCCCGAGGCCTGGCCTAGCATCTCAGATTCTGAGCTAAAGAAACTTTCCCTCTGAGAGGCCCACCTTCGCATTCTGGCTCTGTCACTTTCTATCTGTGTGACCTTGAACAAGTCATGTTCTCTCTCTGGGTCTCACATGTTCCATCTTGAAAGTTGGCGAATAACACCCTTCTCACAGCGAGGACGAGAGAAGTAAATACAGTGATGCATGTGGAGAGTCTGGCAGGCTGCATTAAGTAGGGGCTCAATAAAGCCAAGTGTCCTGGTGGCCTCCCTCTCTCAGCCCTTGTCTTAGTTCCCAGCCTGCTCCTTCCTGTGGCACCATCTCCCGCTCACAGAGGCAGGCCCCTCCCCCACACTTGGACACCTTCACTTTGCCCACCCCTTCCCCACCCAAGCCCTTCTTCTCTGATGTGGGCAGCCAGGCCGGGCTTTACCGGCATGCGACCTGAGCAGCCCCACAGAGCCCCCAGCTTGGTTGAATGCTTTGTGGTTTTATTACTAAAATTATTCAGGATTTTTTGCATAAGGGTCCCACATTTTCATTTGCACTGCAAATTATGTAGCTGGTCCAGGGGAGAGGAGACCCCTGCTCCCCAGGTAACTGACAGCACCCTTCATATTGTCAGGTGCCTCTATAAACCAACAGCGGAAGGAAACCTGTATTTCTTCAGGCCCTGCGCTAGGTGCTCTTAAACACATTGTGTCATTAATCCCTGTTTTACTGATAAAGAATAGAGGCTTTGTCACCGCCCTTGCCCACACAATGGGTAAATGGCGGGGTCAGATCAGGTGTGTCTGATGCCAAAAGCTGTGCCTTCTGACCCTTTAACCACACGAAATAAACTTAATATTCATCCAGGAGCCACAACGAGGTGGGAAGGGCTGACACTCCCATAATATAATCAGATATGCTTTGTATATATCATTTAAAAGCAATTAATTAAAGAAAATCCCCACAGGGGAAAACCTACCACATAGTTTCTGAAGGGATTTCTCCGAGTAGGTCTCCCGGTCACATCCCTTCCCAATGTAATTGGTCTGCAGCTCCGTGGTGATCTGGATGGAGGACACGGCCCCATCGCACGTCTCCAGGTGGATGCTGGGGAACAGGGGCACGCTCCCCGAGCCAGGCTGGTACTCGATCCTCTTGGTCCAGTCTGAATAAACAAGGGGAGGAGGAAAGTCAATCGGGTACAGCCAGTTCTGCTAGGGCACTTGTTTTCAATACGTGAATTTGTTCCAACACAACTCACATATGAGGGAATCATTCGAAGATGACAGGAATTTCCCATTTGTTTATGCAAAATTGCCTCGCTGAGACATACTGGGCGACTGCAGGAAACTGTGCCCAGCTGAAGTGAGCCATTCAGGAATGTACAACACGTGCACACCTCCAACATCTACCAGCTCCTCGGTCCACCTTGTTAGGAGCTGCGCCCACTGCACCTGTGGCTACGCCTTTCCATCCCGTTCAGACCACCCTCCTTCCACCCGTTCACAGTAACGCACAAGCCGCAACCTTTCCTACGGCCACTTCCACAGGCAAAGGCCAGGCCTCTTCCAGGTAAAGTGCCGTATTTTCTGTAGCACCTGTTTCTTAGCCATGAAGCCGTGTAAAACCGTGCTCATGTTTTTCCTTTCACTCCTTGTTATGCGTCACTGATGATGCTTCTGAGGGTTGTGCCCCTCGCCCAATTTCCTCATTTTCCCTAGTGTGTCGATTTTTAGGAACATACATGTCTTGTCATAAACAAACAAAAAATGGTGGTTCATGAATCACTCGAGGTCCTGAGGTGGGGTGCAAGGATTCTTTCCCAAACACTCGGGCCTGTGACCCACTTTCATAGGGCTGATGGTCCTCACTGTTTTTTGGTGGAAAACATAATTTGGGGACAAGAAAGCGTTAGAGAGGAATAAAATCACAATTAAGGTGGCACCACACGAAACACAGCAAGCAACCAAGATAAACGAGTGTACACATGAACTGATTGAAACAGCAATACCAGCGACCGAAAGTCAGAGCCCATGCAGAGCAACACTCACAGCGACCGGTACCAGTGCTTGCTGACAACAGTGAGCATCCTACGCTCTGCAAGGATGCGCGTCCGAGAGGTCGGTGTGACCCTAAAGCTGACTCGAGGGTAGAAAGAAGAGTGAGTCTGAATCATCCAGAAACATAACTTATGAAATCTATTCATTTATGAATTTCAAATGTTTGTCACATAGAATGTTGCTGGACAGTCCTTTTATTGAAGTAGAAATGAAAATCTATGCAATTGCTTGCCCTGACCCATGAGAAGCCCAGAAAGTCCTCGACTCAGAGAGTCAGTCTGCAGTCACCAGGGGGCTCCTCACAAGCTCCCAGTGGGCCACTGGCCACCAGTATGAGCTACACCAGTAGAGTGGAGAGGGCCGGGCTTAGGGGCCAGCCAGATGGCTTTGTTCATGAAGCAACCATTGGTTGGGGGTTTCCAAGTCCCAGGCTCTGCTTGGAGCATCCTGGATAGAGCAATAAAGGAGTCCAGAGAGGTCCTGGCCTCATGGAGTTGGGGGAGAGAGGCAGATGATGAAGAAGCTGGGGCTGTCCTAGCAGAGAGGATTAGTGCTATGAAAGCGGTGGCAGAGGGGGCCTCTTTAGAACGAGAGAGTTCCCGTCTGAGCTGAGGCCTGAATGCCAAGGATGCATGTGTAGAGAGCCCCAGAGAGGCATGTGTGAAGCAGACATAGCTATGATCTCAGCTTGACTCTATCAGGACAGAAAGACCTTGGGCAGGTTAGTGAACATCTCCAGGCCTCAGGCACCCCATTGATAAAATAGGGGCCACTGCGTTGACCCTACAGAGTTGAGTGATGACCAAGTAGGACAATGTGAGCCTGGCCTGCAGTAGGGCCCTGACTGATGTTTGAGAGAAGAAAGGAGATGTTTGGTCCATAATGGGGAGGGGGGGAGCATATCTCCCTGCACGGCAACCTCGCCACATGCTCAATAACTGAACCCCCACATTAACCAGCTGCTCTTTTTTTCTTTTTAAAAAATGTATCTTGCCCTAACAGGTTTGGCTCAGTGGATAGAGCGTCGGCCCGCAGACTGAAAGGTCCCAGGTTTGATTCCGGTCAAGGGCATGAACTTTGGTTGCAGGCACATCCCCAGTAAGAGGTGTGCAGGAGGCAGCTGAACAATGTTTCTCTCTTATCGATGTTTCTAACTCTCTATCCCTCTCCCTTCCTCTCTGTAAAAAATCAATAAAATATATTTTAAAAAATAAAATAAAATAAAAAATGTATCTTTATCATTGAAGGTATTACAAATGTTCCTCTCCCCCCCTCACCCCACCCCCAATTGAACAAGCTGCTCTTTAAAGGGTTTATCAGAGCACGCCATGAGCAGAGATTGCACATCAGGGGCGTGAGATTCGTCTCCAGGGAACTTGCCATGGGAGGACATTTGGATGAGGGTGACTATATATAAAAGAGGACATACCCAGTTACACGGTTTTCCTCATAGCCTCCAGGAGCTGGGCCTGGACTGGCCCATCACCTTCCTATGGAGCTGCTGTAGCCCGTGCTCCAGGGGCTCCAAGCTCAATCTTAAGGACCAACCACTGAAGGATGGACACACACACCCAGCCTTGTAGTGTCCTATGTATAAAATGTTTTCATGCCATCATGCATTTGATCATGATCTTCCTTCTGCATGGAGCTTCCTTTCTACCCCCTCTGTCCTGGCATCTCCACACAACTTTTCAGGATTTTCCCAAGTCTGGGTAGAAACTCTCCCCTGTGCTCTCTCAGCATCCTAAACAGTAGACTATGACATTAGACTCCACGCTTCATGGCCACTCTGAATCAATACCTGGCACAGAACAGATGCTCCCTAGATAGTGGTAGAAAGTGTTAATGGATCCTATAGGATATCCATTGTGTGCCTGCCTCTCCCAGTAACTGGGAACTCTTTAAAGTCAGGCTTTGTGATGTTTATTTTCTATGCTTCCACATCTAGCTCAGAACACAGGAAATATTAGCCACGTGAATCTGGGGAGCCCCAGACACTTGACATTGACTGTTGCCATGACAGCCCTTCTTGAACCACAGACAGAACCCACGGCCTGTGCGCAGCCCCTGCTCTCAGTCCTACAGAGCCAGCCATCCCAAACGCAGCCATGACATGCTTGGTTCTCTTTGTTCTCAGCAGGGCAATTGGTTCAGAATTGATGTGGAAGAATTTGCTTCCTAACAAGAAATGACAATGAAGAGGAGGTCTCTTTTCCTTCCCTCCCTCCCTCCTCTTTCCTTGGGTCCTCCCTTCCTTTAGAGGAGCAGATAAAAAAAATGGAGAAAGTGTTTCTGTGCACAGGGCCTTGGTGTGAGACCTACACCATGTGTCAGAGGTGTTCCACAGCGCCCCCTTCTGGAAGCCTCTTCTTTTGGAGAAGACCAGGAAACCTTGATATCCTCTTTATTCTGTGGGCACTGCAGGCATATACTAGTGTGTGTGTGTGTGTGTGTACGCATGTGTGCGTGCGTGCGTGTGTGTGTGCGTGTGTGTGTGTGTGTGTGTGTATAATTTTTTTTCCCATCTAGATATTTTGTTGGTTATCTTTGATGGGAAATTCTACCTCTAATCTTTTCTGGAAGAGGTGCAAATAAAGAAGCAAATAAATACTGAAGGAAAATCAGTGGAGGCAGCCTTAGCTGAGTTTTTATTCCTCTTATCGCCCTGTGGCTAGAGGAGCAAGGCCCTCTCTGTGGAGAAATCAGGCACAAAAGGAGTTTTCAGGAGCATCACATCTGCCACTTGCTCTGGTGACCTCATGAGGCTTGCTTTTGAGGGTTTATGAGGAGCAGGCAAAATTGCAAGCAATTGATGAAGCTTTCTGAGTGTAGTATCCTTAAGAGAGTGGGGAACTCACACAAACATCATTCATTTCCCAAGAAGGATTTGGATGGGGATTAAAAGAGCAAAAGCAAGTCATCAAGGTCAGCCTTGGCCACATGAAATGTCTATCCATGCTTATTTCCTGGAGGGTAGGATAGCGTGATAGTTAATATATGCCCTCTAACTTCAGCGTGTGCGGGTTCAAATCCCCGTCGTCCCACTTCCTGTTTAACCTCCTTGAGCCTCAGTTTCCTCTTCTGTACAAGTAGTATCTACCACCCAGGTTGTGGCGGGGATTAGATACAGAGTTGTTTCAGCACCAAACACAAGGGACATATTCAATACCTATATTATTGTTCAAATACCATCTTATCTAATAAAGACAGAATATGCAAATTGACCATCACTTCACAACAAAAGGTGGTGGCGCCCACAGCCAATAAGGAGGGAATATGCAAATTGACATGCCAAAGATGGCAGTGGCCGGGCCGGGATGCCTGCGTCGTCGCCATGGCAACAACGCAGGTGTTCTGCCCCACCCTGTCCCAGACACTCCGGGCCTCTGGGCAGTGGGAGAAGGCAGAAGGCAACTCTGGGCCGGAACAAAGGTGGTGCTGGCAGCCAGGGGAAGGAAGGCCTATTCTTGCACGAATCTTCGTGCATTGGGCCTCTAGTTTATTTAGTAATATTTATTGCAGGAAATAAGGGGACCTACAATTATTAAGCACTGACAAGGTGCTAAGCTCTTTTACATCTATTTTTTCATTTAATCCGCCCAGCAACCAGTGAGTGGGTGTTATCTTAATTGCACAGATGTCAAAACCATGGCTGAAAGTTGGCATGACTTTGCCCAAGGCCACACAACTCTTTTAAAATAACTCCTCCATAATTCTGAGGATTTGCCAGAATTGAGAACAATGGCAATTTTTACACATTCATTTTTTGAACATTCAATTTATACTGATATAAAAATGAAAAAGGTGATAATCTCTGAGGTTAGCAAGGAATCAAGAAGGGCTGCCTGTTTCATCACTGCTTGATCCTGAGAGCAGTTTGTGGGGGCCCTGTGGCTGCTCTGACACTGAAGGCTGGAGATAACTGGCCTTGAATCTCAACTCCCCCAAATGCAGGTCATGTGACCATTGCAAAGCAGTTGTCATCTCTAGGCCTCCATTGCCTCATCTGTAGATGTGAGATGATTACACCTCGTTGTGGGCTTGTTGTGAGCACTTAAGGCTAAGGGTCCAACACAGAGATCCTCCTCTTGAAGTCTCATGATAG